AGGTTTTCGAAAACCTCCCTACTTGTGGTCATACTCATAATTGAAAATTCTTATATTTTATTACAACTTTTTGAAAATTATCGTTTATAGCCATAATATTTTATTGGAGTTTTATATTTTATGGTGGTCTTACAGATAACCCTCTCCATTGTGACTGTGACGTAGCTTGGATTCTAGAGTGGCTCAAGACAACTAACATGACCATTTTACTTCCAAAATGCTTTTCACCTCCTCACATAAAAAGTCAAAAATTGTCTGAAGTCCAGCCTGACGTCATATGTCCAAGCCAGTTTAACCACTCAACAGCAGAGTCTTTGAACTCTGTGACAGACAAATTAGGTCAGTACGAATTTCTGGATTTAGATAGTACGGCCAGCAGCATATCAGCTTCATGGAAGGTCCTTCTCACCGATAAAACTAACCACAACTGGGGGCTCTTGTACAGGAAAACACAAGATAATCCCTACAAAATGACCTTAATCCCTCACCAGCAAAGTCATTATTATATAGTGAAGAACCACTATAGCTCAGGTAACAGACAACAAGAGATAATCTACTCTGATGAAATTAAGAATCTCAGCCCAGAGACTAATTACAGTATTTGTGTGGGACTTATGGAAGAGGGTCAACTTCTAGTAGAGCCAAAGAAATGTCAACGTGTCCAAACAAAGCCCCTTTCCTTGTCTACAAATGAAGTAACCCAATATAACAATGAAGACATTTTAGCCACAGACCAGAAGCTGAACAACAAGGAGGTTTTGATGACAATGGATATAACACCTAACACAGTAACAATCCGCTGGGAGATAGTCAAGTTCCCGGCATCAAGCCAGTTATTAAAGCATAAAGCATCATGGGGAAGCAGTCATGAACGTCTTCAGTGGATGATCCGAGTTCGAAGATTTACCACTTCCAATTTCACTGAAATGAAGATCAGCAAACCTACATTCTTGAATTTAACAAAACTTGCCTATGAATACACAGTAAAGGATCTACAACCTTCTACTGGCTATGAAGTTTGTCTGATTGCCATGATTACAGATATCAGAAATAAATTTGATGAAAATTATTATATAAACTGTAGGGAGATAGAAACCAATGAAAAGAAGGTGTTTCCTATGACAGAGGTTGCTGTGGCAACATCTGTGGCAACCTGCACAACCTTCGTGGTCATAGTTATTGCATTTTTCTGTTGTCCAAAGTCTATTTTCAGATGTCAGTCCAAAACCATCCAGCTTTTAAAACGTACTAAGTCAGAAAAGACGTGGGAAGCAGATACAAATAAAAATAAAAAGGCATCAGAGGGTGGGTGTGGAGAAGAGCCTGACAAGATTAGATCAACCACAATCTTTCCAAAAGAAAGGAGTGAAGATACGAATGAGAAAGAAGAACACAGAAGTATTGTCCAACTCAATAATCCAGATGAGAGAGAGACGATTTCTCGCTGCGACGATGTAAGACCTACTCTTCCAACTCGATACACAAATCCAAGAATTGGTATCAGAGAACAATGTATTCCAATTAGCTCAAGTATTTTCAGAAGTTCTAGTTATAAGGCTATCCCTAGTGGAAGTCTCATCCCTCGACTTCCTCCCAGAGGTAGCCAAAATTATATTAGTCTCCAACATAGAAATTTCAATCAGGGTTATTTTTCCACCAGAAATACCTCCAGCCGCTCTCTCCCTTACATTAACCCACAGGAAATAGAATACATTGGAGGACAAAAAGTCCAAGTCTTTGTGCGAGGGACGAGAACCCTACCAAGAAATACTCAGACACAATCAAAAAGTCAAACCATTCCATTTCACCCTCGTTTTAGCCTGCCGAATAACTTCAAGTCTCGAGAGCGTCATCTACCCCAACAGAGTAATCATACTGATGAGGATTCTTCCTATGATTCGGACAGCCAGTGCGATCGAAGTCTGGTAAGTGTTTCCACAGAAAAGTTGTGGCATCGACCACCAGATTCCAACAATAACCCCATAAATTCTGTGAGCTCTCGGTCTAGCACTATTCAGTGCGGTAGACCCTCTGTAGCCATCGCTCAAATTCATTCCAAACCATACTATATTGAGCACGTGTGACACAAGTTAAAATGTATTGAAATCAGCAAAAGGTGCTGTTGTTGTTTTTTGTAAAATTCTCGATGAACATCTAGCAGAAAGGACTTTAGGTTTTCACAAAGAAACTGAAAGTCCGTGTGTTCAACTTATATCTGCAGTGCTTATTAGAAACTGCCTATACATGAATGGATTTATGAAAGTTGTCCAGTATCGAATAGTATGTACATTTATCGTTTTAATCATTAAAGTATCTAAGTTTTAATACATTTTTTGTTGTTGTGAAGTCTATTATCAATTAATCGGTCACCTGGTCAAAACTGCATAAGGAACTAAAAACAGCAAAACAGCAATAAACATAAGGATAATATCAAACACAAAAACAAGAGCATAAAGATAATACTGAACAAAACAATACAAGAATAATAATAAATACAGTAAGAAATATAATTAAAAAGACATCACCAAGTCTAACATTAAATATCAGGATAATACTGAGAGCAACAAACATAAGAACAAAACTGAATATAACAAAAACATGCTCAAGGCAAAAAAATTAAACATCGGGATAATACTAAGCAAAACAACAAGCTTAAATACAAAAATAACACAACAATAAGCATTTGGAAATTAGTGAACAACAACAACAAACGGTTAAGGACAAAATGAACCAAAACAATGAACATAATAATAATAATAATACATGCCGACTATATAGTTACTCCATGCATTTAATTGCACACAGCTTCTAAACTGTGACACATATTTTAGCATGGGAAACGCATTTACTGGTCTGACACCTGGGAATAATAATCGCGCAATGTGACGTCACCTCTCATGTTATTTTCCTTTGCATGCAGGGCACCTATTTTTGCGTGAAAAAATATGCATCCAACAACTTGAAATTATGCAACATAAATTGTTGATTATGTAGGAAAATATACAAATTATACATTGATTATGCATGAAAATTTAAAATTATGCTTGTTTGTTTGTTTTGGAATTTTCGCGCG